TCAGTTGATAATATTTAAATCTAGATTAGACTAATTAGTCAATGATATTAATTCCATTACATCAGAGAATGGTGGTTCGATAATTTATTTTCGGGAAAGTTAAAGACTCGGGCTGAACCGGCCTAGGAGGGGGAAGTGATGATGGGCAGAGGCAAGTCGTAAATTTACACGCACGTATCAATTGAAGTTTTATATATATATATATAATACAACTAAATAATTTTGTTGAAATGGAGTCAATGTTATAATAGTACATGTGTAATATCAAATCACGCACGTTTTCATTATAGTTTAATTAGTTGTGTGTGTGTGTAGATTCTGGTGAGAACTTGAGGGGGAGAAGTTAACTTTTCTCAACTATATACCTTTCCCCCCCTTTTATTCATGAAATGAATAGCTTAATTTCAGTGAAAGATACAGTGAGATGAAATTGTAAAGGTAAATTAAAAGTAAAAAAGAAAAAGAAAAAAGAGGAGGTGGTGATAAGAAGAAATAAATAGGAGGGGCATAGGTGGCGGGGTGTGATTGGAGGGAGAGATAGGAACAGAAATTTGTTAGGCTGTGGTGTGAGATGATGAAGCAAAACAGGAGAGATGCTGTGGTGCGTGAGCGTGAGAGGACGACGTTAGGTGAGTGAAAGGGATATTCATCGCCGACCACCTGATTCACACCATCTCATCATATTCATTCATTCAATCTATCAATCACTTTACTTCTACATACATACACATGTTTTAGGTTGGAATCATTTTCAGTATTCATCGTCTTAATGAGTATTATAAATTCATCAGATCTTTATTATTTATGTTTTTTTTATCTGATTGACTATTTATGTTTGATTTGAACGGTTCAAATTTAAAATCTTTAATTAATTATTTTTAAATAGAAAAAATTATTTTTTGAAAGAATGATAGTTAAAAAATTATCTCTATTTTAGATTTTATACATATTAAAATAATTATTTTGAATAAATAAAAATAAAAAAAATTAAATCTAAACCATTCAAATGAGATATGAACGTTTTAGATCTGATGAGTTTATGATATTTATCAAAATGATGAGAACCAAAACCGATTCCATTCTATGTTAAGAAATTTAGCTCGTAAGTTTTCACTCAGAGAAATTTTTCCTGATATAAATTTGTTTTAAATGTTTGATATAATAGTAATATTGCTTCATACTATTGAAAATATTAACTATTAAAATCACTATTTTAATTATCAGTATTTTTTTTAACAGTCTACAATTCTAAATTTTTAAAATAAATTTGCGCTCAAAAAAATTGTTTTTAAATGAAAGTTTCGGGGCTAAATTTGTAATTCAAGTCCATCCCAAAATCAAAGGTTCTCTGGTCAAGGAAAAGGAAAATAATGGCTGACATATACCCACATGGCCTTTCGGCATTTTTATGCGGGTGATATGACATATTTCCTATATACATATTGGAATCACATAATGCTCAGATGCGTATGACGCGGAGACAGAGATGCCGACTTGAACTTTGCTTCTCTTTTGCCTGCGAGTCGGAATCCAATCATATTAAATGTTTGATTTGATTTCATATCACTCTGTCTTCCCTGTTGTTATTCCCTCCTCCCTAAGCTTGTTTTGACCCAGTTTGATCAATGCTGGCTTCCCACCCGGCCACATCTCTCCAATACCTTATCAGGCAGATGTCACCAATAATACCACTTTTTATCCCCAAAAAAAAAAATTCATAATGCCACTTGTCACCCAAGCACTTGCTTTTAGAGATTTACAAGTCATTTTTACCGTGCTTCTTTAAAATTAAAAGAAAAAAAATCAATACTTTCATATTAAATATACATGTACATATTTTAAAAATTAATTAAGACACACTAACATTTAATGAGGGGTAAAAAGAGAAACTAAAGATAAAAAATTAACATCATGTCTTGTAATAATTAGGACAAAATTTTTTTCTCTAATTAAAAATGATGTGACTACATGGTACTGTCAAGTGCTAAATGTGAACACCTCTCCCAACAAGAATTTGAATCTTGATTCACTATGTTGTGAGAAATTAACCCCTTCCACTAGACGCAATCCCCGTTGGTTTTATCTTATAGATTTAAAAATCTGGGTGTAGCTTTTCTCATTTGGGCTGGTTCGACCCAGTTAGAATCAAGTTAGTCGAGATGATTTTTTCCCCCCTCCTTTCCTCATGGGATAAGTTTTCTTCTTTTAATTTTAGGGAATAGTCTTTTTTATTTATAATCTTGTTAATTTGATGAAAACAAGCAAGGAATATAACACAGCGTCGTCCAGGGAAGACATAAAAGAGCTCTATGAGAACTATAATTATGGAGACAGAAAAAGAACTAAAAATTCATGACCAATGAAATCCTTCCCTTTCATCTTTTTATTTATTTATTTTATACATCATTCTCTTTCATGTTTCAATAACCTCACATGACTTTAGGATCCTATCATTATGTGAAGAGGAAAATAAATTCATTAATTTATGGTCCATAACAGTTGATCCTCAGGTGGGGCCCATCATTAAAAAGTCTGAGAACCATTACTAGTGGCCCACCATTTGGCCCACATTGTCTTTTTCCTCCACTAATCGAAATTGACATTAGGCCCATAATTGTGGGCCAACCCCTTCCTTGTTTCTCTGTTGATTTTGTAGATAAACATCACAAAACAGGGGAGTTTAAATCATCACTTTAATTTTTTGTCCTAATTCACCAGCATACTAACTTCTTAGTCATCGCTTGTTTTCTTTTTTCTAACTTTTATTATTTTTCAATGAAATAAAACTGTTAAAAAAAAGATATTTTTTCTCTCCTTACTCACTGATATTTAAACCTGAAACCTAAAGCTATGGTTCATGAATATTTTTTACTATGTTCATAGGAAATCTAATCTGCTAAATGCAAACATTTTAAATCGGAAAATTTATGTTTCGAAAGTTTCAAATCAATTTCAATTTTATTTCATCATGTTGATAAATATTCTCAATAGTCAATGCCTTCTTAAATGCCAGTGACATTGCACTGAGGAAAAAAAATGCCATTGACATTCAATTAAATTAAATGGCCGGGGTCACGCGTCACCAGGTGGTTGTTGAAAATAGAAACGTGAATTTCAATAATCCATATCTCTATCACAAAATTTAATACTTCTCTGCTTCTTGGTTCTTAACGTAGGACCTAACTAGAGAGTTGTTACTGATTCTACATGTAAAATATGTTTCACAAGTTTATGATTTTTTTTTTAAATTAATCCTATTGATATCCCTAACAATAATTAAATAAGAGAGACAAGAAAGAAATTAAAAAATATTTTTATGATGTTTTAGAAAAAAATCATAATAACTAATTTAACTTATATCTTTAGTCTATTCAAATTATTTAATTAGATCTCACATTAAATATGGAAATAGTATATATATACTGAGAGAGAGAGAGCATTTAAAGAGAAATAAGAGATTAAAAAAAAAGAGAGAGACAAACAGGTGGATATAAAAATAATACTCCTCATGTCCTTAATATAAGACCCATTTAACTAATTTGATTAGATTAAGGAAGTTATGTAAGTTAGTTAATTATAAAAAATGTGACACATCTTTCCTAAAATACCATAATCATCTTTCTTAATACCTTCTTTCTTTCTTTTACTTGATTATGGTTGATGAATTATCTATAGGGATAATTTAGAGAACATTGATAAATATGATAAATGAGTCTTATATTTAGAACTAAAACTAACTTAACAATTAGGTCTTATATTAATGACCGGAGGAGTAAGATGAAGACCTTACATGATATGAACATATGAAAGATTACTCGATTTTAAAATGATAGGACATGACATGTACTGATGTAGAAGACCACATGAATGACAGCTCATCTATTTCTGTCGTATGCAATTAATGTTTTGAAAAAAAAACGTTTTAATTTAAGCAAATATATAGGTGAAATTAACAAAAATAATTGATAAAGAATTAGAAAGTGTTTGGATAAAAACCAAACCATAATTTCAGAAGTGATTTTATGGTTTACGAGATAAATATGTAAAGAAATTTATCTCGATTTACAAAAAAATACTTCTGAGAAACACTTTTCATGATACCCAAGCACCCCCTTAATCAGAAATAAAATGCTTTTGAATTGAACATCTTTTGGATCATGCCAAAAGGCCTGCAAACTTCAAACGCATAGTCTATTCAAATTAATTAATTACATCTCATATTAAATATCGAAATAGTATATACATACTATGAGAGAGAGAGCATTTAAAGAGAAATAAGAGATTTTTCTTTTTAAAAAGAGAGAAACAGGTGGATATAAAAATAATAAGATGGAGACCTTACATGATATGAAACACATGAAAGATTACTCGATTTAAAATGATAGTACATGACATGTACTGATGTAGAAGCCCCCATGAATGACAGCTCATCTATTTCTGTCATATGCAATTAATATTTTGAGGAAAAAAAACGTTTTAATTTTCGCAAATACATAGGTGAAATTAACAAAAATAATTAACAAGGAATTAATCAGAAATAAAATGCTTTTGCATTGAACATCTTTTGGATCGTGCCAAAAGGCCTGCAAAACATCGGACGCATATGTGTTCGCAGGAAAATACACATGACAAAGCAAGAACTTAAAATAAACCACCTCCCACAAGACCGATTAAATATGGATGTTTCAAATTAAAAAATTTAATAAAATACGCCTAAAATATATTGAAACAGAGATTAATTTTTCAACCGGTTAAAATTTGATCTGAAACATTCAGAACTATAGTGAAAAGGAAGTGGAGAAGCCGCAAGAGAAACATATTGGAATCCTAACCTCAGAGTCATCTAACATCGCATTAACATTGGAAAAGAAATACCATAAAATGATAACATCAGATTAGCCAAATCACTCGCAGAAAGAAAAAGTTAAACAGATGAACCTAACAGTTGCAGAATTAAGATGTGAAGTGTCTGCAGTGCAAATATCAAGTTTCCAGGTGCCTAACCAAATGAATCACTGAACCAAGAATATAAAGAACATCTCACAAAACGGGATTTCTGGATGAAGAATTTCATATTCAAGGAGGGTCTATGGCACTCTTAGAATTAACTAGACAACTTTTGCATCATTTCATACAGAATAATATATAAAATAGAGTTTCCCCATATTGACCCAAAAAATAAAAAAAAGAGTTTCCCCATAACACTAAAAGAAAAAAACATTTATTAAAATGCAGCATGTTATGATTTATGGCAGCTAGCATTGTTGTCTATCTCCTCAAGGTGTGCAGAATATACTCCGCGTAAAGATCCCTGCAAAATGTTACATAAAGCTCAGATTATTTCAAGCAATGCCCATTTCAACTAAAATCACTTTTGCTGCCATAAATCACCCATGTTCAAAGTATTAAGATAATTATATCAGGAAAATATATTTAGCTGGCTCTTGAATCGGTAATAATCTTTAACAATTTTTACCAAATATTAGCTAGATATAATTAAAAATAGAAAAAGAAAAAGAAACTTAATAGTTGTTCCAAATGTACTGACATTGAATACTGGATGGCTTCAACAGCAGTGGTTGCAGGCAAGAAGTCATTAACAGCCACCTCCTTGTTCTCATTCTTCTTGTCTGAGAAAATATGTTAAGAAACAAGACAATTTGTAAAGAGGCATAAATATGTTAAGTTTTTATATTAATATGTTCTGAAGGATACAGTCTTCAAAGAAGCGTCGAATCTCGGAGAGACGATGAGGTGGCAGATCTTTGATGTCATTGTAGTGCTTGTACTCTGGATCATCGGCACATACTGCAATAATCTTATCATCCTTCTCTCCCTGTGTCAATAGGGTTGTGACTATTTTGTTAACATATAATTGCTTGGAAAGAAGTAGATTTTTCTATTCTGTCAATACACAGGATAAATAATAACACAGCAGGCGTTTTGACTGAGATATATTGATTTGAACAAAATTTTAGGTGGAAAATTCAAATTTTAAATTCAAAGAGTTAAAAAGAAAAAACAGAAGGATAACAAAATAATAGCCAGAAGGGTACCTGGTCAATCATGGGCATCAACCCAATGGCCTTGGCTCGTAGGAAACAACCAGGAAGAACTGGCTCCTAACCACATCAGATATTCAGTAAGCTGATTATAACGGAGGAATAGTGCCCGGGAAAGAATCAAACATAGTAGATCATGGCCAATGCAGAATTTGAGTTGATTTGGGATCTTCGTGTTTGGAACACAGATAAGGATATAACTCTAGACTATGAGATTTGTCTGAGTGATTAATGAGGATCTATTAACTACTGATATTGAAGATTAGTTGTATGAAGGGAACAGTGATCTGGAATCTTGCGTGATTATACTCACATTAAAATGACTTGCGCATTATGTTTTCAGGCACTGAATCATAGAATTAATTTTGAATTTTGCAACACAATACATCATAGATATAGCTAATGAAGCACTAGAGTGATTTGGAATTTTCATCTTTTGAAAGCAGGTAAAGATAAATCAGACTATGAGCATTATAAGGGTAATTAATAGGATTCAGAAGTGATGAGTCCATCAAAATAATTTGGAAGTAGGAATCTTTAGTAGCAGTAGCAGCTTTGTACATGGGGGGGGGGGGAGAATTTTGTGAATAGAATGTGAATAACAGAAATGAGCATCACAATATAATTGAATTGAATTGACTGGCGTGATATGCTTTAGAGCTAATCAATAGAACCTAATAAACAGGATGCAATGCTTCTACAACATAGTCTAAAATAATAAGAAATTACCTGCATTATAATCAGGACATCAAGCGGATCGTTGTCTTCACACAGTGTACGAGGGATAAAGCCATAGTTATGAGGATAAACAACAGATGAGTACAAGACCCGATCAACCTGAGAATTATTACAGATCATACGAAGAATCTAAAAGACAGATATACGAGAAAAGCAGACGATGGAATTTGACAAGAATCAAGAGTCTGCGAGATGGGAAAACAAAAGGATCATTGAATAAGCAGGGAATTTGCTCATACTTTAATCAATCCAGTCTTCTTGTCAAGTTCGTATTTCACCTTGCTTCCCTTGGTAATCTCCACAACCTGCAAGTCGCAACAAACCGTTTAAGAAGCAGAAACACTATGTTTTCGATCTGGATCCCCTAAATTTTCAAAGGTAAATGCATGCTTCCAATTTGGTGAGATCTAAAAGGAGAAAAAAAATAATGGGCATAAAAATAGGATATGGACCGCATTCACAATCATTACGTGACAAACACCCCCCCCCATTGTATAAATGCATGAATGTAGGGAATGAATTTGCTATGTCACTAGGAAAGTTCAGGTCAGAAATGAGATTAATGTGATAAACAAATGCCTTTAATAGGAGAATAATGGATATTTGAGATTCAAAGTGAGCATTAAGAGAAACTGAAGAGTTTGGAGGAATATAGAATTTAATTTACGGAGGCAGGGGAAGCTCTGAGATTAGGTCAGCGAGGTAAGACAGGATTTTATGAACCAAATTACTACAAATTTTGAGAGTCTGTTGAGGTTTAAATGCATAAGCGCAGATCCAAGTCAAAAATGAATTCAGCAAAGAACAATCTTACCATATGAAAACTCAGATCCACATTCTTCTAAATCAGGCAAGAAGAGTGTATGATTTTCTGCTTCGTTTTAGCAATTAGTTTGATTTCTTCTTTTATAAGTAATTTGTAATTTGCCAAAATGAATGGGAAAAGATCATCAAATCAGAACTCCCTAGAATTCAGTGTGTATCAATCCATCACAACTGGTTAGTGCTATGTTTTGGGAACCGCATCCTAGAGGATCATAAGACGCCACAAAGTTCCAGACAAGTTGAATTAAAAAGATAATTCACATCTACTTTATCCCTCTTCCCGCAACAAGCACATTCTTTTCTCCAGTAGATGGCAGAAGACAATCAGACAACTATCTCCAGAGACGGAAAATGAAAACTTACACAATTGAAAATATTGGGAGCTCCAGGTCCTGCATACCATACAGTAATTAAGAATTTAAGATTATTTGCGACAAGATCAAGTTTTCTATGTCAATGAATACAAATGAGCAATCTGATCAGTGACAGTACCAATTTCAAGATCGTGCCAGGGGTGGGCAGCAACCGATCTCCTTGACAAAGATGAAAGAATCCTTTCATTCAAACGAGGAACTGGTCGGTTTTCCGGAGCTGGAACTTCATTATTCTCCTCTGAGTGGCTCATCTTGATACAGAAAGAGCACAAAATACTGTTTATAACAAACCAAGAAAATTAAAAATGGTCTGACCCAAATGGATTTTGTCAGTTGGCAAGAGACGATAATTTATCTCGTTATCAACATGAATTAAGTTCTTCCAAATGTTTTCTCACTCGAGGTAAATCATCAACTCTAACACTATATCACTGAAAAAGTCTAGAAATCAAGAAACATGACTATGCTGCTCATCTAAGGTAAATCAGCTCATATCGGAGGAAGTGAAAAATACAAAATAGGACGTTGTTAATAGCTTCGCAATCTTATATGCAGAGCAATAGCGCTAAGCTCAAAATGAGTTGTAGCGATGGCAGAAGAAAGCCCAGAAAATACAACTTTCGTAAAAGATGACTACTTGATGCACCGAACAAATAACTTACAGTCAAACAAAGAGGCTCTTAGGAAGACTGTAAGTTCTGACCCAAAGAAAAAACGCACCTTTAATAGGACTGTGAGTAACCTGAAGAAATGGTCAATGGCTGAATAGGGAAGAGAAGGCGAGGTGGGTGGTATTTATACGTGTTAGAACATTAGGTCACAACTGAGGAGGGGGGACCGAAGGAGGAAAAGGGAGAGAGAGGCTGACTCACCTTGTTCTGTGAAGATTCGGAGATCTGTTTCTTTGGTGTACAATCTAATTGCAAAAGAGTTTAAAATGTCACTATTCGACTAATTATTATATTACATAATTAAAAAAATTTCCTTTCGATTGCATCAAAAGCTAATCTTTTCTTTTTTTGGCCAAACATCAAAAGCTAATCTTGGAAGTGAAATTATTGCTCAGAACAGGAGCTGTTTAGTTGTATTTCAAAAAAAAAAAAAGACGTTGCTTTTTTCAAGTGAAAGAAAGAATTCATTGTTGAAAGGAAATTGCAAAATATTGATATAGCTTAAAAACATGAACATGAATCGGACTACATAAAAATGAACATGAACTAGATTGTAGATATGGCTTGAGCGATTGTTTGGAATTGTAACTGGAGCCTTCAAAAACAATTTTTCAAAAGTAATCCACAACATGTAGTATAAGTCATCTACTCTCTTAGAAACTGAATGCTTTGTTCTTAAAAATGCTCTTTTGTATATTCATATTTTCCCTAATCATAATCTGTATTGAGACGGACTGTGAGGAGCTTTTTAAAGTTCTTTAGAATAAATCTCTAATTAATGCTGTATGGCAAAACTCTTCTATTCTTGCTGATATATTTCGATTAATTGAACTAATGTCAATCATTCAATTTTCCATGGCTGCTAGACAAGAAAATAGGGCTGCGAATTTTTTTGCAGCTATTGAAAAAAGAGAGATGGGATCCAAACTTTTACTGATAAAGCCTTGGATTGTGAAGGAATGAGTTGATTTACTGTCAAAGTTTTGTACCTTGTTTTCTGTTTTTTGGTGGATCTTGCTTTGCTCTTTAGTTTTGCTGCTTTGATTGGTTCTTTTGAAACTATCTTGTTTCTTTTGGTGTAATTTTTTTTGGTACTTTGTAGGCTTTTTCTTTTTTTTTTTTTGGTTATACATAGCCTGGTAATCCTGCGCCTATTAGCAACCGAGGTGGTTATCCCCTCTCCCAACGAGAACGTTTCCCGGGATTCGAACACGCGTTCTCGTCCTTACGGAAGGCAGGCCCACTTACCAGCTTGATCAACTGCTCGTTGGTAGGCCTTTCTTTTATTAATCAATAAAACGATCTCTTTTTGGTGTAAAGGAAAAACTTGGGAGGTAAAGGAGAATTTTTGTTCAATTACATCACAATAAACAATTGTGAAATTGAGCATCTTTAAAATGGGACTAGGTTGATAACATTAATAATATCTTGTAAGGATACGAGGAAATAGTTCATAACTATGTTTTTTTTTACAGCAAACCAACTACGTTTAATCAATAATTACACACGTACCGAGGCATATAGTAGTAGTGACAGTAATAATATTTTTGGGGCGAAGAGGCATATAATAAAATTACAAGTTGGCGTACATGTGCTCATCACCAGGTTTCACGTTCTTCTGCCTTTGTGATATAAATTTATTTTACTTTCGATCTTTAATATAAGACCTTATTTGATTTTTATTTTGATCTTAATTATAAGATTCTAATCCATTTTGTCTCTCATACTTATATATTCTTTTTCAAGGTAATCCTTCTAATAATGGTGGTCCTAGCCAATAAACTTGATTAGCAAGGATATTTTAGGAAAAACAATACCTATTTATTATAAGTAACTAACTTAATCTATTTTCTTAATCTCATCAAATTAGTCAACTAGCTCTTATAATTAGAATTGGAGGTAGTATAAAATTAAATAAATGTTGCATGTAAAGTTGTGGAGGGTCACCAAACAATTTAAATAAACAAGCACAAAGAAATACGTTCCTTTAAAACTTGTTTCCACATTTTGCTTTAAAAGTCGCATTTTATTGCTTTAGATGTTGCCGACTTTTCTTGTCCATTCTTCACGCGTAGAAGAATAATACACACGCAATGAAAAATTAATTATTAAGTAGAGTAACACACACAACAACAACAACAACAACAAGCTTTATCCTATTAGGTGGGATTGGCTATATGAATTACACGACGTTATTATACTCTATTAACAATTAAATTTTTAGATATGTTGTTGATCAAGAGGTTCTATTCAATGACAATATATATATATATATATATATTAGACCTCCAATATAATCTTCATTTTTAGTAGATACGTAGAAACAAAACACTGCATTTGAAAAGTATAAAACCAAGGAACAAAAAACCGGACCGGGAACTAAACCGGTCAAGACAGTGGGTCAAGGGTCACTAGTCGGACCGTGGTCAAACTAGAGTCAGAATGGTCACGTTAAAATAATAAAATTTAATTCATAACATTAAAGTGGAACAAATATTGTGGCCTTCTCCTCTTTACAAAATTAATCTAAAGCAATCAAATCAATAGTATGTAAAGGAATCAACAGCATAATCAAAATTAGTAAAATATGCATAAGGTAAGCTCACAGGAACCAACATTATGATGCAGAACAATACCTTCTCCTCTTTACAAAATTAATCTATATTATTTTAGCAATAACACTCTCCTCCCTTCTCAAATCTCACAACAACCAGAACCGAAGGAATCAAGAGAAACAAGGAACATGGAACAAAGCAGCTCTTTGATCTTAGAAAAACAACCCAACTAAAAAGGAAAGGTTTTGAACTTACCCACAAGGCCACAACTCAGTGCCTGAACTAAAGGTGAAGCAGGACTTCTGTGAAAGGTGAAGGCGAAGCAGGGTGCCACTAGGACTTCCATGATCCGTCGACTGGGTGCCACTTGCAATGTGAGGGGCGAACAGAGGAGGGAGTGTCACTGTCAGTGAACGACCGAACTATGAGGCCCATTGTCAACAACGCTATGGATTTTGGTGGGGGGAATGACTAGAGTTTGGGAGAAAGAGCAAGGAATCTCAGCGATTTGTGGGGAGGGGATTTCGATTTGCAAAAATAGGGGAGGACCGAAGGACTGAGGAGGCGAGCCGGGTTGAATGTGAGGGAGAAATAGGTTTTTATTTTTTTTCCTTAAAACCTAGACAACGTAATTTTGTCCTGGCTAGGCAGAAAAAAAAAAAAACGAGTGAACCACCCAACCGGTTCTAACCCGGTTCAACACCGGCTTTTACCAGTTGAACCGGTTCATATTTAGACTTATTCAACACCGGTTTTTCTGATTGAATCAGCCGGTTCAGTCCGGTTTTTTTCTCATTGCATAAAACATTGTAAGAAATATTGCTATACTAGTATAATTCCATTCCAATCATTGTCCTTATTTGAGTTTTGTCTCTTAATATCTCTGTTTTTTAAGGTTATATTCACATATAAAATCTTTTTTCAAATTACGACTGATGTGATTTACTCCAAGATTAATCAATAATATTAGATATCTGAGAACTCGTTACTCCAGCTTTTTTTAAAAGGAAAATTAATTATTTGGACTTGCATTTGTATCCTTGAAGAAAAAGACTTCCCTCCGGTAATTTACTTACAATTTTTTTTATCCTGGTAATTTAAGCTTATTATTGACCTGAATTTTTTTTTCATAACAAAGAGAGGGCCTAAGCCCAAAACAAAGAGAGGACCTGAATTTGATTACTCTAATATTTTCGTTGCGGTGGCCCAATTGGCCTACAACACTGGGCCTACGTTTTTGCATAATAGTCCAAATGAAAAAGAACTGGGCCTGAATAACTTAGTGAATCAAGTTCGCCAATGGGGCTTGGTGATTCATTTGATACCATCCCACGCGTCGGGATATTATATGCTGAGGATGATCCTAGATAATTTTTTATTCTCACTTTAAATCAAAGCCAGTGAAATAAATTTTAAATATCACATATATTTAAAAAAACATTTAAGTTATGTGAAGAAACTATTTTAGCTTTTAAAACTTTATAATAAAATTTCTAAATGTCAGATCATCCTGATAACCTTCCTCGTTAGTAAACGAATCATCTACTGAAATGAAACCGTTATATATTGAAAATGATATATATCTGGAAAAAGTATAATTTGAAATCCATTTAGTTTGATACTACACTTTTCACTGATAAATCAATTTAAAGTGAGCTCTATTTCTAAAAATTAAAAATCTATAATTTAATTCATTTTTATTATTTATACTTAAACTTTATTAGAGGGATATGTGATATGTGAGTTGTTTTTTCTTAAAAAAAATCCAACGTAAAATCTGAAATTCAAATAAGATATCTTGTGATAAATTATTTTAATTCCGAGTTACTAGAACGCATCACCAGGCTTATAGCATTCCTGTTTGGGCGGATAATATACGAAATTAAAAAGAAATGAAAGTAAAATAACATTACTGTATTGTGCGTGTGCGTGTGTATTATATAAAATGATAATTTAATTAATAAATGGGCAGATAGTTAGGATAAGATCAGTTTAATAATTAAACCGCTCTCTCTCTTCTCGGACGGATAATCATTTTTTCCAGCCTCTGTTAAAAAAACACAGCCTTTGTTCAGTGATCATTAAAACACGGCTTTTGTTCAGTCATCAATGATCGCGTGTTTGTACGTATATCGCAGATAAAAAGTATTTCTTCGTCCACTCAGCAGTTTCCCATTCCGCACTGCCAAACTGCGTCTCAGCTTCGTAACATCGGCGTCGTTTCTGCAGACAAAAACATATCCAAACAATAATGAAAAGCCTTCTTCGTTCATTGACTGCTTTATCAACCTCATCATCCTCTGTAGTTTCAAATTCAGCAAGAATCTACGAATTCGCCAGCATGATCTTCATCATCCGAGCCATAACTTTTAGTCATTTTTAGTGGGACAATACCTCCGGGAACTACAACAAAGACGGTCACAGACCCAGTTTGTGGCTCGGGCGAACCGGTTCGGATTCTCCATGGATTTCGGGAGCCCCAACCAGCCGCGCCTGATCGGAGATTACGTACTGGGACAGCAAATCGGGTCGGGTTCTTTTGCGGTGGTGTGGCACTCAAGGCATCGTCACTCGGGTTTGGAGGTTGCAGTTAAGGAGATTAACAAGAAACGGCTTAGCCCAAAAGTCAGTGAGAATCTACTCAAAGAGATTTCTATTCTTAGCACCATCGATCACCCAAACATTATACGATTGTTCGATGTAATCCAGGTAAAGTCGTTATAATTATCCGTTTTCATTTCCTTTTCTGGAAACTTCTTTAATCTCATTGCTATTTGAGCTGTTTTGATTCTCACTGTAACGTGGATTTTTGGGGTTAAAGACCAATGATAGGATTTACCTTATTTTGGAGTATTGCAATGGTGGTGACCTTGCTACTTACATTCATCGACGCGGAAAAGTTTCAGAATCCATTGCACGGCATTTTATGAGACACTTAGGTGAGTATACTTACTCCCTGCGGTTGTTTTACTTTTCAGCCTTTTCTAGCACATGCGATCACCATTATTCGACCTGGCAATTAAAAGATGGTCCTTTCAGTGATTTTTCCAGCTTCTTGAATTTTGCAAATGGTTTGACGATTTTGCAGATACCAACTTGATCCTCTAATTTACCCTCCTCTGTAGTATATACTATTACGAATTTCTAATTTTACGCTGGGCTTACTTGTAGCTGCGGGGTTGATGGTACTCCAAGAAAAGCACCTCATTCATAGAGATCTAAAACCACAGGTACCAGAATGAATCTTGTCGAATTATAAATTTTTTGTGTTCTTCTCATAATCTGTGCGGGCTTATTTTTAATAATTTTCAGCTGCTTATTTAGTTTATGTTCAAGTCCGCACCTTTTTCTCATTTATGATGTCCAATCTTAGCACATAGAGGACGACAAATATGCAAATTGCGGGGAGATACGTTGATTTGGGTGAAAGTTATTATTATTTTTTTAAATTTTAAAGGAGGTTTATTTATTTTGTATTTATTTTTTGGATAATTTTTCTATGCATTTATGATTATTTTAATTTTAATGAAGAGAGAGTTATCTTATTTTGATTTGGATAGACCTATCTTATTTTTCAGAGTTTTATTCGAATAGGATTTTATTCTGGGTGTTTATCAGCTATAAATGCCATGTTACTACCTTATAATAAAAATAAGTTAAAGGGAAAAGTTAACCTTTGGATTCCTACACAAGTTCTTTGCAATCACCTAGGTTTTACTTCAAATTGTTACTGACTAGACTTGGGTATAGGGTTTAATTTTGCCGTCATATTCATATATAGGAAGGAAATTAAAAAAATTCTACATTTGTCTTCAAAAATTATGGTTCATGCATTTATTAGAGAACCTGATGGCTAAATTTTTAAATTTGTACATAGGTTTTCTCCATTTATTATAGCTTTATGCCTTTATCTATAGAAGCTGCACTGTGAAGAAAATATAGGGTTAAAAGGAAACAACAAAAATGAGGCACTACTGAAGAAAGGGATGCAATAAAGGAAGAATATATTAATGACTCATATATCATAATTTGTAGTGCTATGCTTAGTTCAGAAGGGATACTGATTTTGAACTGTTTATTAACTTGATTTAGGGGACTTCTTTATGATCTTCTCTAGTTGTTTCATAGTTACTGTTGCTCGTATTTTAATCTATTAGTGTCTTGATTCTATATTTTTGGTATTTGCAGAACTTACTATTGTCCAGTATTGGAGGTATACCACTTCTGAAAATAGGCGATTTTGGTTTTGCAAGGTAGGATAACTCAGTAAGTGGTTTAAATATGTAAATAGGGTTATTATGTTGTTGATGATTGAGTTAACCACATTTTGTTGGTAAGACGTACTAAATGGATTTACACATGGACCTCTTTTTTCAGTGAAGATTCTTCTTTTTAATGAATATTTCTTTATATGATCTCCCTCGTAGTTTTATATGGCAAGCAGTCAAATGATATTTTTGTTTTTCTTGCTTTTGATTTTTTTTTTTTTGCTTCAATATAATGCCAATGGTTGCTTGGTTGGGTGATAATGGACTCTACACCTTTCAAGCAAGGTCTTGAGTTTGAGCCTAGGTGGAAAAATCTATGTGGAAAGATCCCTCCTGTTGGGGACTAAACGTGACTTGATATTGGATTAGTTGGTAGCATTGGATATTGAATGGTTTGTTAAAAAAACGCGGAGATATTGGAGATTTTTCCCCTTCAGTTTTGTTATTCCTGATTTATGGATGTCCTAGGTCTCTCACACCCCAAGGGTTGGCAGACACACTATGTGGTTCACCGTTGTACATGGCTCCAGAGATAATTCAAAATCAGAAGTATGATGCCAAGGTGATGAACGATAGAATGACATTACCTGTACTTGCAGACGCCCCCCCCCCCCCTAATTGTTTGATTTTGTCGCTGCAGGCTGATTTATGGAGTGTCGGAGCCATATTATTCCAGCTAGTGACTGGGAGGCCACCATTTGATGGAAATAGTCAATTTCAGGTTTAGGAGAAGGATAGCAATTATTTTTTCCTCGAGAATAATCAAGAAGGTATTTCTTTGTTATTGGAAGTACCCTTCTCCTCTGATCACTTTTTGTGCTGCAGCTTTTTCAGAACATTTTAAAATCCACTGAACTGCGGTTCCCACCAGAGGCTTTAAATGAGCTACATCCAGATTGTGTGGATCTTTGCAGAAGCCTTCTGCGTCTAACACCAGGTATTGATTGCAGTTGCATGGCATGCACATGAGTGTAATATCCGTTATGCCTGTGGCTGTGTGTTTGTGTAAAGGTGATGGATCTGAGGTTGAATATAACCAGTCATTTTATCACGCTTTAAATGTCACTTAGAATGCATATAGACAACTTCTCTGAAGTTGAACTGTGATGTGCAGCTGAGCGATTGACATTCAAAGATTTCTTCAATCACAATTTCTTAAAGGAGCCCAGGTTGTAATTTACTTTTTATTAAGGATCTTTTCATCTCCTGTATACCTGTCACATTTTCTTCCATGTCATAGTAATATCTTGTTATTCATATAGGTCAATTGTGAACGTTGAACGGCCTTCTATACAGCCACCAGACGGATCAACGGTCCAGCAATATGGTACCATCTCAACATCGGACAAAAGTCCTCATTTGCATCCTGGTCATCATCTCAAGACATCCATAGATGACCCTGTGGTAATCAGTTCTGCTGTTGATGAGACCGTGCTGTCACCAAGGAAGCTTAGTGGGAATACTGCTGACACCAAAAGTGTTAAGGGCACAATTTCAACAACTACTGGTGACAAGCAGGGACTTGGTAATGTTGCTCAATTGTCAGACCAGCCTCATGGTCCACTCTTATCATGATCTTGTAGTTTCATGGCTTTCCACCTGTTTTTCTTGATCCTTTTTTATTTTCATTTTGTTTAGCTTCTCATTTGATGGAGTCCATTGAGAAAGACTATGTCCTAGTCAATCGTCACTTTGCATCATCGGAGGCTTTCTCTGATTACCTTGGGGCATCTGTGCAAGATCATATCACTAGCGGGGTTTCGATCTGTCCTTCAGAGATGGTTGGCCTGGAAGTTGGAGTTGCAAAGCGAACAAATAATTTATCCTGTTGCTGTTTTGATGGTGATGGAGAAGAAAGAACAAAAAGTGGTAAATTTGAGGCGGCCCCTGTGTTTGCTGTCCTGGGGAAAGAGCAGGGTGCATCCTCAAAGCAGCCTTCGAGTGGGTTAGATTTGTTGCATCAATATGTGCAGATTCTCTCAGAACTTTCACAAGAAAAAGTAAGCTAGTCTAGTTCTTTTAATTTCATCACTGTGTCAATATATTGTTGACTTTAAAACTCTGCTCGAATTATTATCACAGCTAAATTCTTCTTCCATTCTTTGCTCTCAAGAACGGATCTGTAAATTCAGTAGACAAATGCAAATATGAAGTTTACAATTCAGGAAGCAGAATTTCATGCAAGAAGCTCGTTTAACATTTACTTGCAAATATAACACAGTCCAGTACGGACTGAATGTACAAGCTGTATCTCTGATTAATAATTTCACAGTATTACTTATTTCAATGCTGTAACAAAACTCAATACTCCTTAAAATTTGTGGATCTCTTTAGGTGCATCTCCAACGGGTCTATGATGGAACCTAAGCTCAACATGATATTAAATGCATGATAATTTTGCTCCCCAGTATATCAACCAACGAACCTTCTCCCTCACACACTCGCACATCCCATGTGTTAGTTACATGTCAGCCCATTAGTTATGGGCCCCACAGTTTACTGCATCTCTCTCTGTCTCTCTCCCTCTTATTTTCAGTCTAAATGGTTATTCTTGCAGTATAATGCAGGATTGTATCTAGAATCGTTTGCAGTTGAACTGGTGGTTTTGGCTATATGGAAAAAAACTCTTGAAATTTGTAACTTTTGGCTGGACTCCATCGCTGAGGGCAAGTTGCCTGGAAGCACTTCAGGGAAGGAATCCACAATCTCATGCGAAGATGAAAGCAGATCACAACCCATGCTAGAGAAAATAGATTTTAGTGATCCTTCTGCTGTGTCCTTGTGGGCCAAGAAAGGATTTATTTTTGCAGTTGATCATGCTGAGAGACTTTCATGCCTTGTTCAAAATATGGATGGTAGGACTGCCTTTCTTGTTCTGAACTTTATTTCTTTCAGAGGAAAAATTTTCTGCACTATGTACTTAAGAATGTAAAATACATTGCAGGTGCATCTGAGATGCCAAATGCAATGGAGATCATATTTCAAAAAGCACTATCAATCGGCACAAGTGGTGCTGTAAGTAGTCATGGTTTTCTATTGGTCAGTTTTTTCTTAACTTTCTTATCTCCTCTGTTGCAGAGACATAAAAACGGTGGCTATTATAAACAATTGATAAATTACTTTTTAACTTCCATGTGATTTAAAGTGGAAAGTTTAATCTTGATTTGTCAGTCTGTTCTTATAGGCCTAAGATAGTATTGGATGTCTAATTCTACATCACATAGTATGGGCTGTTTTCGACCTCCATTGCTAGTTTTTAATGAAGGGTTTTTCATCCCTCTTGGGTGTTTCACGATTATTATTAGAGTTGGTGGTCGGTAATTTGGAAAAACTTTACCTCCAAAGGGTTCTAACCAGTGAGGAGATCAAGTAAAATGTTGCAGAATCTGAGAGGAACACCAGCTTTTCGCAGGCATTCAGTTTATAGAGACTAAGGCAGTATGAAATGCCTAGTCTTGTACTATTAAATAGGATGGGTTGTTGAGAGTATTTACGTGGATTGACTTGTATTAGCTCAAGTTAGTTTTTGGGAGTTTCCTTCTCTAGTTGGGCACCCATCAAATGTTATTGATAGCTGTGAAAGATTTTGTTCAAAGTGAAACATGTTTGACGACTTGTTCATCTTTTAATATACTGCAAATAGCTTTAGTTGTGTAAACGATAATAGAATTAATGGAAGAGGAGTTAAACGAGGGGCACTTTAAAACATGAGAAGGCTAATTGAGTTTGGGTCAGGTACGAGGAGTAAAGCGTTACTGACCCCTATGTTAAACTGTTACTTGACTAAGCAGTCATTGCTTTTTTATTTTTTTCCAGGTAGACGAGTATATGGAAAATAGAGGTAAGGCAGCTGTATCATACTCAAAAGCGATGCTTCTTCTTTCATTTATTGTGAACGAAGCAGTTCACCTTCCACTGAACCCACCATTCTCACTAACTCCGGCTAATGAGAAGAGAATGTTACAGTATATATTGAACCTGCAGTCGCGTCTACGTCAGTCCTCGTCATCGGAGCCTTCCAAGGCATCCGACATTCTTTAATGAAGTAAATAACCATATGTATAGTAGTCCTTGTACAGTTATATGTAACTGAAGTATTTTGCTGATGACTTGCATATTAACTTTTTCTATGCATAGATGAGAGAAAAAGAAAAGCTTTGATTTGATAGATGTGATGTGCAGAGAATTTTATGACTTAACATGGTACTGTGGAGTGACTTTCCCTTTATCGGAGAATTTTGTATATAATATTATAAATTGTTCCCCACGAAATTTTCATAGTTTCGTATATTGTACAGATCTAATCAAGTGTCTGATCCGCTCAAACTGGCTAAGTTGTTTTCCGTCCCACTGCCCTTGAAGGCTTTGATCAGGAGTTTAGATGTTTCACAATGATACAGCATTTTATTAGTTGACACAAGGTAAATATGTTTGTGACTCACTTTTTACGTGGAATACAGTTCACTAGTAGCTGTGGTTGAACTTCTTCCAAATTTAGCGATTTCACAATGAAAATTGAAAACCAAGAAATAAGTTATATTATTATGAATAGCATATGGCACCGTTAATGGAGGTGGGGAATAAGTGAACAAATGATGTCAAATTTAACATCAGAAGAAGCGGTTCGCAAACAAAATCAAACTCCCTCAACTTGGAAACAAAGGCCCATTTGTAAAGTTTGCACACGGGGAATTGTTCTTGTATATCAAATAATCTATAGAATGAGGAGAAATCACAGAATGAAGGCTCATAGATTACTTTATATTCATGGCATAAACAGTACTTTATGTTTCTTTTGAAAGTCTTTAGCAGAGTTTTTAGTGCAGTAACATCAGTCTCAGGGATAGTAAATATGAGCACGTGGAAAATTAATATAGTACACACACCTACACGACAAGTTTCGTGAAGCTGCAGGATTAGATAATAAACAATAGGTGACAAGGGGAGTTAGAACTGATAATGCAAAACCAAAAGTTTTCTTTTGTGTGATTGCATGCAATACCCAATGCGATCAAGTTGAAGCCTCCCCCTCCAAGCGTATTCTCTTCGGACCTTTCTCTTCACCCTGGTTACTAGTACTTCCAACCCTATTTTCCTTGGCCTCCACTGAACATCTTTTGTAAGGTTTAAACCCAGTTCGACAGGCCTTAAGCTTTCGTTGCCCGAGCCCTATGGTTAGAAGTCCCTCCTCTCCCTGTGTTCTTTCTGCAGATGGCATGTTCTTCTCTACCCCTACCTGATCAGAGCTGTGTTTGTTGCTATCAAGGTCTTCATCTCCGTCAACCATGTTCTGCTTGTGATCCTCATTTTTGTGGTCTTTCTGAATGTCCTTTTCCAAGTGTGATGGTGAAAAGCTTTGGGGCAAAACCTCTCTGGAGAAGAGAGCCTGGAAGGCCTGTCGACCCTGATGATACAAGTGGCATGAGAAGCAAAGCACCCAAAGATATGGATTACAATAAAATCTAATAATAAGATATTGATACCTCTTCGGAGACCTCTTTCCAAGAATCAGTAAGGTTGCCTGCACTCCTACTACGGCGATTACTAGGCTCAGTTGTTAAGTGGTTTGCATCTGGTGTCAAGGACTCTTCCTTCCCTTTCTCATTCTTCTCTAACGCGTCTGTCTCTATATCACTACTAGAGGTTGTGTTGGAGCCACACGAAGAACGGTCAACCAGTTTTCTTCCGTTGGTCTTGTTGGAGTCAAGGTTCTCAGAAATCGCTTCGTTCTTGTCATGTTCAGCAGCCTTAGGTGAATTGGTTAAATCGGCATCTTTACTCTTAGAATCTGATGAAGAAACATCTTGCGACTTGGAGTCTGAATGTTGAGCTTGCACAGCTTCTGAATATTCTCCGTTTGGCATCTGATCTTGCAGAGGAGGATTCTCAACCGTAGTCTCTTTCTGATCTTTTTTAACTGCTTGTGCTTCAGCGGTATTCATGGAAGGAATTACCACCGCAGATGCAGGAGGAGAGGAGAAAGCAGAATGGAGTGGAGCACACAAAGGCAGCAGTCCATGGGCCGTCCACCATGCAGTTGCAGCAGCCACAGTAGCAGCTGCAATAGCTGCCATACTTGGAGGAGAGCCAATTTGTGTTGATGTGAAGCCTCCTTGAGAGGAAGCATGAGAATCAGGAGAATCTGCATTGGCATAGGGCCAAAATGTAGCAGCAAAACTAGCTGCAGCATGGGCTGGAGGATTTTGCATGAGGGTGGAGACAATGAGACTTGAAAATGTGGAGGACATGTGAAAACATGAATGGCAATGATCTTGACTACATAGAACTTGCGGGAAGGGAGGATAAGCAGGAAATAATTGATGAATAGAAGATTGGGGTGTGTTATTCTTATTTTCGCCCGTGTTTGACGCAGCTGAATCTGTGAAAATATTATGTTGCCCATTAACCTCTCCCAGAGGCTGAAATTTAGAGTCTCGTAATAGCATATCTTTGGGAGGTTGTGTATCTGCTTCGAGGTTCCCATCAAGACCGGGCCCTGGGACATGCCTTGGGCAATTCTGATTGTCTTTTATCCCATCTATTGTTAATGCACAATTGAGATCATCTGTTTTCTGACTTTGAACCAATTTTACACCTGAAGCATCAGAACACTCCAAAACCAATTTTACACCTGAACCATCAGAACCCTCCAATTTAGAGGCTTTCGTCTGTTCTAGTTTTCCATCATCTATGTTGCACTTCTGATTTTCAAGCTCAATAGTGACAGAAGATTCATCTGTTTCGTCTCGAGTAATTCCCACTCTTACTGAAGGGATGAACTCCCTTAAAATGCATGAGTTTCTCAGTGGCATTGACAATGAAATTGATCTGTTTTTCGCTGAAGATATAGAGGAATAGGGTGCCTCTGGTGGAATAGCAAATACTCTTGAGCAGCTCTCATCCTTGTTTTCAGTAACATTTATTGGTCTTTCATCTCCATTAGATTTCTGAAAGAAGGAAAAAGAATGGATAATTGAACTGAGTAAAAATTGCAGAAGTTTGCTTGATAAGTGGAACATTGAAAATAAGAGTGGAGTAATAACCTCCGGAGGTGGTTCTTTCTCCAAGTCCAGTGCTTCTTTACCATGCGAAGGCGAAACAGAAGTTAATATGCCATCTTTTGCTCCATTATGTGGTGCCGGAGAGCCATTACTGGTTTTCCGAGGATAAGGATTAGTTGGCTTTCTTTTGGGCCGTGGAGGAGGGATGTCTATGTCAAGAGCTTGCCCTATTGGAACACCCTTTTCAAGAGCCTCTTTCTCCACCTGAAAGTGAAAATTGTAATCAGATTATCAGCAAGTGATGTATTGTGAAAACAATTCAAAATCACTGATCCAGGCGTTTGAGCAATTTTTTTATGCGCAAGCTCAAAAGCATTATAAAAGAGTAAGAGCTCTAATATAAGATATTTCAATAGATTCACGCACGACTATGGATATACCCACGCTTTGGCAATGATGCGGCTAGTGAGATTCTAAAGGAAGCATGCATTGCTGGTTGAAATATGTGTGTATGTGTGATTGGCCACGTATATAGTTTAAAAATCAAAACACCATCTTATATTATTAAAGCTGAGAAAAGAAAACATACAGAACCCTTCTCTGATCATATCTGGGAAAAAATCTCCCGTAGGTGGAGTCAATTATAACCCAAATAAAATGGTAAATTACCTGTCTCAGAAAAAATTTTCTCATTGCAAATTATTTACATGTCTTCATTTAATATAATCTATACGCTCCGCAGCAGCTGACACAGTTGACTTATGCACAAACATTACTAGAGATTTGCATGGCAATCCCTTTCGAAGACTATGATATATTTCTAATGAAGCTTCATTTTTCCACCAAAACTGATCTCCTGAGCAAATATAATTTTGATACTTTTCATTTCTAGTGTTTGGTGCTTTAAAGAAAAGTTTCTGTATTTATTTCGTGAGAGAGAGAGCCACTCTGGTCCTGAACAAGCTCATTAGTTTTGACATAGAGGCTCTAAGCACTACTAATTACTAGATTCTATACTCTTAAGAAGTTTTGCAACTGTATATCTTGTATAACATTTTCTGGTGATATAAAGTCAATTAATTGTGTAAAAATTTGTTTTATGACTGATTATATTCTTAAATATCCCTTCTGCTCTTTGTTTTTCCCCTTCACATTGAAACGAATGACACGCTTCTTTCCCATGTCAAGCGTAAAGTTAACAGAAGCCAATGATAATACTACTAGGTCGGTCTAAGGAAACTCTATAGCTACCTCATTACTATGCCTTGCTTTGCAACCAACATATATATAGGGAAGGAAAGTGAAAGTAAGGAAATATTTAAAGAATGAAAAGTAAGGAATGAGAAGTTTTCTCCTCTCGTTACTTAATGCAGTTCTCTTTAAGGGTGTTTCATTCATACATCATTTGGATTTAGGATTCTAATCCTAAAAGATCTTATCCGAGCACTGAAGTCTCGTATCCATTTACTATATGCTAAAAGCTATATCTTCTGTAAAGATGGCAGTGTAGCCGCCACTTCAATTACCCTCTATCTCAAACATGCACCAATCCCCGCTGCATATGCATTGTTGGTCACTAACATTTCCCCCTCTTTTGATTAGTGCATATCGCTGACTTAGTAAAATGCTAGCCAGTAGCAACAAATGACCCAATAGGAGAAAACTATTCTTACTATCATAGCGTGTTTTGCCATTTAAATTCCATGCTTATGTCTTTAAACACCTTGTAGTTGTCTAAATTCCTTGCTTTGATGATCATCCTTAGATATAGGACTGCGGCAACAACTCCCAGGCCTCAAGTAGATTTCATTGAATAGCTGCGACACCACTAATCTATATTATTCAATCACGCACTCTCGGGCTTTCCCAACTTTTAGAAGTCTTTAATCCTGAATGGCTTGATAAAAAATAACTGCCGTATGATTTGAGACTCCACACACTTGAACTCCATTCCCTTGTTTGCAGTATTCTTCATCACACTTTACGAGTGTCCTTTCTACTCTTGTAATTCAAAAATCTGTAGCAGATAATGATGAAAAACTTTTTTCCATAACTCCACCTGATTGGATAACCTTCTCAAGTGCCTGGATGATTGGGCTAAGCTTCTCCTCCAAAATCTTTTGGCAGTAGTTTTTCGCTAGGATTTTATACTCCTCAAGACAGATATCAATCTGTACCTTCATGTCATATCTTTTTTTTTTTAAAAAAAAAACATTTTTCATTATTAAAGCCCTCTCCAATGCATTTTCCAAAAACCTATCTGCTTCAAGCAATGTCAACTCTTTTGGTTTTGTAAGCCATTCAAATGCTTTCTTATCCACTTGTAACGTAGTCTTAGCCTCGAGGAGCAGTGATGTACACGAATGGTACATAATCATCGTCATCACTAGGTTGATTTTCATTTAGCCTTCTAAGAGATATTGTTGCAAAATCTTGCACCGCTTGTGCATCTTTCTTTCTTAACAATACTTGAATTCTTGCTTTCAAGATGCTTTTCTTCAACAATAGTCCTCAATAATTCAGTGTTTCTCAATCAGGTTTAACTTCAATTCTCAGCTCTTCTATAGTCTTATCCTTTAGAGCTTTAGTTGCTCTTATTCTTAAGGTCTTGCTACTTGGTCTGTTCGCTCTAATGACCAACAAGCAAAATACTAAATCTCTCCAAGGTCCTTCAATCAACTAAATTTGTAATAAGCTTGGTGAGTATGGCACGTCCACTCTAGCTTAAGATGGATTGTCAGAATAAGGCACAAACTTATGATTGTTAGAATAGTTTATATGTTAGTCCTTGTACTAATTGCTCTGCTGTCATATTACAGATTGTACTACACCTTTTACTGCTCTATATGTAAGATGGAATTTCTCAATTGCGTGTTCCAAACAATTGTGTCTCCTTTGTCTTTCCTAATTTCATTTTGCACTAGTGCAATCAAACAAAAAAAGGGGGGACTGGTTTGACCAAGCAATCGTATTGATTACTTAGCCAAACCAGCCCCCCTTTATTGAAGCGAGAAAATTAGTTCTATGGGAGAGAAAGCAATCAGAAATGACTTCTGCTGCTTTCAACCAGCAATAAAGCAAAGTGACACACAAGAAAGCCCTTCTGATTTCTTCCAGTCATCATGTGCGATTTGGTGGCTTCAAGTTTCAAGACATAATAAAATCCCTCTGAATTCTAGGCATCCTCTGCTATCAGATAAAATTAGTTCCAGAAAACAGAAGTTGGCAGATCTCGAGGGCTCATTTATCTCAAAAACCAAATCAATAATAACCCAGTGCTACTGATTCAAAAAACTTCTCTCAATCATGTATAATCCAATGAGCTCAGGGAGAAAATCAAGAGAAGAGGAAAAAAAACTACCAAATCAACCATATCCATGCCATCAGGGAGTCCAGCGGTTCAGTGCCACACTTTCCTTAATTACAGGGTACACCAGCTTTGAGTTCTGATTTTTTTTTTCCCAATACTTCCTATAACATATGAAGGAAATTTCACCCGGGGAAAGACAGAGGTCACTGGAACATATCCAGTTACATTGGTAGATGTTAAATCAAACTACTAATAACAACTCTGGTCAACTTTTGTGTCCAGCAGATCTTTCCAGTTAGCAGTGCTAGCATCATGTAAGCAGTTTGACATGAGAACAAAACTCTAAGCGCAAAAAACTCCTAATCATTTAGACATCCTAAAAACCAAAACTTAACATCCAAGAATACCAGTTAGTGAGCAAAAGGGACAAGTAAATCAACCTTTGTAGAGAGAGAAGATTTCAAATTTTAAAATCGCAGCTTCACAGTAAAATAAAGTGACCATTCATACATTGTCCAACTAATTTCTCCTCTCACCCACCTCAACAGATTACATAATGATCCGTTATTAATCTGTTGCTCTAAACAGAAAAGCTCTCAGATTAAATCAGCAGACCATAAAGGGCCAAGATATACAATCCCTTTGAAAAGCAATTTCTAATGCTAAAGTAGTTTCTCTGAAGAACCACACTCAAGTTTTGGAAATGTAGCAACGGAAACCAACGTTATCAATTTACAAACAAACCCCCTAAGTTCCAAGGCAAAAAAAAAAAAAAACAGATTAAATTTTTTAATAAAGATGAAAATTCACAATGGAGTTTGGTAAAGGAAATAAATATAGATCTCAATTATCCAAGGAAAGTTAATATAATATAGACCACCATCTTGAAACACTTAGCTGAGCCATTATGACGAATAAACCTCTCTACTGCTGGTAGCCAAGACTAATTTAATGAATGCACCCAGCACCTAGAAAAAAGAGGACTATCACCTTGAATAGGACAATAAAAGAAATATAAGGGTCTTCCTAACACCGAGGATATGATAAAAGTACCAAGTCACAAACTACTTTGTTGAGTGTATTAGAAACTACAAACAAAGTTGAACAAAAAAATACACAATCAAAGACAATGGTATATTAGAAGACACAATTTTTTAAGGAAAAAAACCCAATGTTATGTTATTAGTTCAAATTGGCCTGATAATGAACATAACTTTGCAACTTTAGTTATCTACAATGCTGATGAGACATTATAATCAGGGCCACTAAACTAATGGTTTGGAGCAGAAAGTCTAATCCTAGAGAGAAACTGAAAATTTTTCATATTATTACTGATAAGTTTCAATGACAAACTGAAAACCCTATGACAATACTCAGCCTTATGTAGAAAGGCAAACAAATATCTCTAAATTACCAAATGACTCTTAATTAACTCCACATCCCAAATCGATAAAACACATTAACACTTAAAATAATTACAGATATTCTTATTTCATTATTAATTCTCCTTTTACTACCACAAAAAAAGAATTTTCCTGTTAAAGAAAACTTTTCATAAACTGTTATAACATAAACCAAAATGGCCATCAATTACGAATTATTGTCTTTATAAATATCTTTGCCTTGTTTCTTTACCTCCTTTGTTTATCGCATTTCAGGTCCTTTAATCATCTGATTTATTATTCTCGATTCTTACTTGAAAAATCATCATTGAATACCTAACCAACCTTTTGGTAGGAGCTAGAAATTTTCTTAGTTGAAATATATTTTCAAGCCCTTAGTTGAATTTCACATAGAGAGGCGGTTGTCTGTTACAACTTTCCCATACATAATTTGCGTCTTGATTCCTCCATGATTTCAAGTTCACCAGTACAATGAAAATATGAAATTTTCGGTGCAATTAGATGGAAATGTATATTGATTAAAGTGAACCAAATATATGTAAAAAGTAAGGATATAAATACGTAAATCAGCAGAAGGTAAAAAGAAAGGTAAATTCAAATAAAACAACTAACACTTAGGATAAGCCAAGGTAAGAAGGTACACACTGACCTTTGTAAAGAATTTCTGTGCATGGCTCCTGATTTGCACAGCAGTCTTTGTTCCGATATGCTCTGCACATCAAAAGGTAAAACACCACAAATGATTGCCCGAGCACAGGAGAAAAAACAAAGGGTTCTGGTTAAGCGTTAATAAAATAAATAGAGTGGTTAAAATTATTTCCTCATAGAAAAATTTGGAGTTACGAGTCAGCAGAGCATTATTACTGTGCACTTCTAAACTGTTTCCCGCGTATGAAGAAATGAACAGAAGGAAAGACCTGTTTAAGAAACGAGCAAATTATTACCTTCAATGCGCTGCCATGCTCTCCCATAGAGCTTTAAGGCTTCTAGAAACCTATTATGCTCCTCCTCAGTCCATCTTTCTCTTTGCTTTGTGATTGTGTAAGGTTTTCTTGTCTGTAATTGCCAGTTATCTACTTAGAAAATATTCAACTCTACTAATTAACTTGTTTGTCCTCTGAATCAACAAAACATTGTAGCATGAGAGAAATAAAAACTTAACCCATCATGACAACCTTATCTTCATGCTAAATAGTTTTCTTGTCTATAATTGCCAGGTTTCTACTTAAAAAGCATTCAGCTTTGCTAATTCCCTTCTTTGTCATTTATGTGAAGAAAAGATTGGAGCACGAAATTAAATACAACCTTAATTCATCATAATAAATTATTAAGCTTGCCCTTTTTCTTTTTTTTTCAATCAGATATTAACCTTACCTTAACAACCCCTTCTCCTCCAGAGGAGTATGCGTCCATCATAGGACCTGTGCAGCAAGCGCTGCTTTAGATCTTCCCTGATATACCTCCTTTCATTCTTGGCAACATGAAACACACTGAATCGTAAAGCCGTGGTAATTGGAAGCACAATCTGATATAGTGGTGCTACTGCAAAAAGAAAAAGGGTAGAAAAATAGGTAGAGATCCGTCTCTGCTTCGTATCAGCACTGATAAGCACTCCAATTCACAAGTGGCGAGGCTATAGTTATGTCATACATATTATCTATAATAATCGAGAAACTAAGAAAAACAAAATTAAAATTTCAAGAATCCACCGCAACAGAGTCGTTTCTCCGAAACAATAAAACATAGTTGCTTGATCAGAATTCTCACCAAAACAACGAACCCGTACGTGCCAACACCTTTCAATCAAGTGAACAGGCAAAAAAGAGAGGGAAATATAATCAGTATATAAAACAAACATTCGTATCTTCAAATAAATAGAAGTTGGAAAAATCAACCACATAATCTAATCAAGAGTCGAGTTAACTTGAATACGTGATATGTTCAAATCGAAAGTATCAGGCAGCGCAGTAAAACATATAATTAGTATCATAACCGTCCATAGCTTAAAATCAATAAGAGCCAGCAAAATCAAATACAATATCAAATGAAGAGGAGTGTTCAGTAATATGTTGGAAACGAAGGAATCATACAGCGAAGTAAAACGTACATTTCGCTGTTCATTTTCCTCCAATTTGTCGAGAACAGGAAAGTAAATACGCAACAAAAATAAGTACCTCGGCATAAAACCATGGCAGTGATAAGGAACCGGAGGTGCGATCATGCATGTGAAAACAACAAATCACCGGACACTCGCCGGAGAACTCATTTCCGGCAATGGCAAAAATCCGAGTCCGAGGGACTTGTGATCAGAGAACACAAAGAAACTGAAAAAGTGCCGAACGAAACAGAAGCAGAAGCAGTGATAGTTTATTAGTCTTTTCCTTCTGTAAGAGGCCCGACACTAAAATTTACCAGAAACTCCGACGCCAAACAGTTCAAAGACTGAGAAGCAATCTCAGCCACTAACAATTTCTTGTGTTCAGTATTTTATTTTATTTTTCGTAAAAATTAGGCGTCGTTTTTATTTGAGGCTCGCAAGGAGCGAAGGGCAAAGTCGTCAAACCGTTTTCTCATTGGATTATGCCACGTGTATGTAAATTAGTGGCGGACGTTGCACATACCCACGCTTGCGCTTTTCCTGAATATTTTTTGCTTTCTTTTTCGGAATTTGGTCTTCGGCCTCAAATGTCATCCACAAGCTCTCAGGGATTACGTAAAAGCGATGCCAGCTATGGGTGTCGGTCCCAGTGATTACGTGGCAGGAGTAACCGTTTGTTCCGGTTAGAGGAGTACGGCCACCCGGCTGCAGTGGTGGGAATTTTAGTCAACGTGGCGTTTCGCTTTTCAGAGACCGGTACGTGGCGTTTTGGTCGTACTAACTGCCTAACTGGTTGGCACTGTGTTCCTCGTTTGGGACACGTGGAAGGCAACGGTAAGATCTTGGTGATCGTATCGTTTGGACATTGTTTCTTTGGTTTTTTTTTTTATGGTCCATAATCAATGTGGACCTGCAGCGTTGCCTGAATTCTGTCCTGTGATCACGTGTTTAGGCATAAGCAGAAATACAACATCACGTAAAGAGCTCATGACATTGATAATAAAGAATTTTAAAATTAAAAGTAAGCTTGAAATAACTCTAAATAATAATTTATTTTCTCGTTGTACAGAGTTAGATTTTCAGTTAAGGACTGCAGAAGACAATTTATATCAATCAATGACCAAAATTTTCTAAAATTTCACTGCAGGACTAAGGGATCAAATTGAAATTAAAATTTAGAATGAGATTACAATAATGCCCTTTCCTTTTTATTTTATTAAAAAATAAATATTAACCGGAGATACTGTTCCGGCCACCAGAGACCGGAGCTCCGGCCACCGGTGCTCAAGTGGTCACCACCGGGAGTTCGGCCACTGGTGGCTGGAACAGTAGCTCCGATCAGCTTCCAGTGGCCGGAATTTTTTTTTATTTAAAATAAGGTGGCTAAGGGAGGGTTTAAACCCATGACCCCTTGGCACACCAAAAGATTTACAACCAGCAAGCCAAGCAACCCATTCAAACATAGGATGCAAATAAAAATACATATAACAAAACAAATGTAATTGTTTGAGTGTAAGTGAACAAGTGAAATTAGATAATTTACAAGTAGAATTCAAAAATTTACAACAAAAATTAGGTAATCTACAAATAATATAATAGAAGTCATAATCCCAAATGCAAGTGTTTAAGTGCAAATGAGCAAGTGAAATTTGAAAATTTACAACAAAAATTTGTGGATTCACAACCCAAATTTGGCAAACATGAGAATTCACAACCCAAAATGTAAGTGTTTGAGTGTAAGTGAACTAATGAAATTCGACGATTTACAAGTGGAATTCAGCAATTTACAACAAAAATTAGGCAATTTACAAATAACATAATCGAAGTCATAACCTCAAATACAAGTGTTTAAGTGCAAATAAGCAAGTAAAATTCTCTTGCAAATCTATAAACTTTTGTTGTAAATCTTCAAATTTCATTTGCTCATTTACACTTAAACACTTGTACTTAGGATTGTGAGTTCCATTATGTTATTTGTAAATTTCTTAATTTTTGTTGTAAATTGTTGAATTTCACTTGCAAATCCATAAACTTTTGTTGTAAATCTTCAAATTTTACTTGCTTATTTGCATTTAAACACTTGCATTTTGAGTTATGACTTCGATTATGTTATTTGTAAATTGCCTAATTTTTATTGTAAATTGTTGAATTCCACTTGTAAATCGTTGAATTTCACTTGTTCACTTACACTCAAACACTTACATTTTGGGTTGTGAATTCTCCTGTGTTTGCCAAATTTGGGTTGTAAATTCATAAATTTTTGTGGTAAATTTTCAAATTTTACTTGCTCATTTGCACTTAAACACTTGTATTTAGGGTTATAACTTCGATTATGTTATTTGTAAATTGCCTAATTTTTGTTGTAAATTGCTAAATTCTACTTGTAAATTGTCAAATTTCACTTGTTCACTTACACTCAAACACTTATATTTTGGGTTGTGCATTCTCTTGTGTTTGCCGAATTTGGGTTGTAAATCCATAAACTTTTGTTGTAAATCTTCAAATTTCACTTGCTCATTTGCACTTAAACACTTGCATTTGGGATTATGACTTCTATTATGTTATTTGTGGATTGCTTAATTTTTGTTGTAAATTGTTGAATTCCACTTCTAAATCGTTTAATTTCACTTGTTCACTTATACTCAAACAGTTATGTTTTTTTGTTATATATATTTTTATTTGCATTTTATGTTTGAATGGGTTGCTTGGCTTAGTGGTTATAAACCTTTTGGAGTGCCAAGGGGTCATGGGTTCAAACCCTCCCTTGGCCACCTTGTTTTAAACAAAAAAAATTCCGGCCACAGGAGACCGGTCGAAGCTACTATTCCGACCACTCCCAGCGCTGGTGGCCACACCTCCGACCTCTGATGGCGGGAACAGTATCTCCTGTTAATATTTATTTTTTAATAAAATAAAAAAGGAGGGGTATTATTATAATCTCACTCTAAATTTTAATTTCAATTTGGTCCCTTGGTCCTGCAGTGAAATTTCAGAAAATTTTGGTCCTTGATTGATATAAATTGTCTTCTACGGTCCTTAACTGAAATTCTCCCTAGATTATATTCTTCTAGTCCTATTTATAAAGTACTTCCAGTATGTTTCACACAGACTAAAGAAAATCTTAAATTTTATTAATTCTCATTTAAAATTTAACAACTTTTCAACTTTATTCCTGTTTAATACAGATTATACCTTATATAAATAAAGTCAACATAATAATAAATGAGGGATAAAATTATACATCTATATAAAAAATTTCTCTCAGTGCTCTTTAAATAAAATAAAAAAAAAATTTCTCTCTGCCCTGTAAATAGAACCAGAAAAATATCTTTCATGATTAGCAAAGTTAGAAAAGAAGGTCCATGTAGTGATATTAATATTATACTACCTCCAGTCCTAATTATAATAAGACTTTATTTATAATTTATAAACGAGATCTTATAATTTGAATAAGAGGTAGTAGTTTGTAGGTATTCTAATATAAAAGAATATGGATCTTGTTCGGCTTCAATACTTCGAACTTGGACCTTGAGTCGCTCAGAATAAGTAGGGTCAGACAATTTCATACTGAAATCTCATGTGGTAGTAAGGATTACACTTCCTTTGCAAAGAGTAGTTAACAAAGTACCAATCAAATTAATGTTGTACGTCGTGTAAGAGGCATCCAAAAGGGCAATTTTGGTGGTTTCCCTTCACCCGAAATCCCCACATTACATTACATAAGGTACATGAGAAAGTGAGCTTGAAAACCATGATTTAAGGTTAAACATGAAGCAAAAATTCTAATGTATATAATCTAGCTAGCTTTTAATCTTTGCATGAAGAAAATTCGTACCGGTGCGTGCAAAATATCATTTTACACCTACACCAATTTCTAGCTTTCTACGTTGATTGTTGAAATAAATATATGGTAAATGAATATGACTTTGCACAATGGGTCCTTACAAGGTCCTTAGCTCATCAAACTAGGGTGAAAAGGCACATTATATACCGGTCAAATATATATTGCACGACGAATTTCTCGTCTCTTATATACATAGCTCGGCGTAGCTTTAATTTGGACATTGGTGGCCTGCCTTCAGTTTTGTGCTTCTTTAAGTACGTTCAGCTTTCTTTCTCTCATTCCTACGCACCTTCTATTCTCTCTGTGTGCGGTTGTGTATTGGTATGTGGTTTGTCTTTCTGTTGATATACTACCCCCTATCTTTAATATAAAAACCAATTGGAAATTGAATTTGGTTCTAAATTTAAGATATTAATTCATTTTGTCTATTAGATTTATAATGTGTATTTTCTGTAAAATATCCTTATTGATTGATTGTAAGGATTTTCATCAAGAAATAGTTTTAATACGCATGATTAAATAGGATAGTCTAATTAGGGATGCCAACATATATTTGTTACAAGTAACCAATTTAATTAATTTTTTAATTTCTCTAAGCTTTTATATTAACGGGAAGTAGTGTATTACTATATATAATGTGTATGGGAAAGTCATAGGGCATTTTAAAGTTCAGGTAATATTGAGTTTCTTAATGATCATATCATTTGTGCCAAGTATGTCTATTTTGAATTATTACCAAGACACCAATTACATCTCTTTAAATGCATCTAACGAAAGATAGGAGTATATATTTATATATAGGATGTCTTTGTTTGTAAGAAGTTCCATGTTATATGTTGAAAGTTTAGTTGCAATTTTTGTTTGAATATAAGTTGATTATATGAAAATAAAGAATTATCAATTACCTCTCTTTCCTACGTACAGTCCTCAAAATCAGTTGTCTTCCCAATTTCCATTGCATTCAAGAAGAATGCCTTAGAAAGACAACTGATTAGATCGAGAATCGTTTATTATGAAACTCGAGAGGTTAAGATTGTCCCCTTTTTATGTGAATATATAGTGTATCACAATTTTTAGCTGAAACTATTTGATGATTAGCATATTATCATTCCAACTAAAAATTGTGATTTGGATCGAGAAAGTTTGTGTATTATTTTTAAGGAAAAAAATTGTTCTAGTTCTCCCCTGATGCAACTCCTCGCTCATGTAGAAAAATCAATAGCTTCTGATGAGTGCCTTTAAGAATGGTAAAGCACCTTTCGTACATAATTATAAGTAACAAACAATACAAACGAACATCTTAAACCCAATAAATATGAAATACCAAGTTTGTATGTCATTCTTACTGAGTTTATAAGCTGTTCGCTCGTACAGTTGCACCCTTTCCTTCTCTTGATCATGTACAATGGTGCTCTACCACTGATCATGATTATTAGTTTTATCTAAGTACTAGTGTAAAAGATTTTTTTTTC